GCTTCTCTGGGTAGGGTCCCGCTCTCTGCTCTTCTCCCTTGATGGTCCTAGGGACCTCCGCTCCTAGACTGAAAAGTTAGTCACTCCCCTCCTTGCTATAAACCGTCTACCTTTACATTTCCAACCCTCACAATCAGTCCTGATAACAATTATTCACTATTGGAGTTCATGGAATTTGTAACAGTTAATATCTTAAACTTAGAACCTTGTTTGTAATGTAAATAACTATGTTGAGTACTTAGTGTTGAATATTTATAGTGACAGAGATAGACTTATTAATTGGTTATATAAAGAAAATGATGGGGAAAGTGTACCAAAGGCCCATCAGCTCCACTGATGGTTACCATATGGAAGCACAGGAATGAGGTATTGAATGAGCAAGTCTCACACTGCATAGGTGATGGGGAAACAGTTTATTTTTACACAACTTAGCTCTGATTTTTCCCTTCCTACATGGAGTCCTGGTGTGGCGCTGTGGGTTAATGTCCTGGACTGCAAAGTCATTTGAACCACAAGGGTTGGTGGTTCAAGCTCACCAGCTGCTCCTTGAAAACCCTATACAGGGCTGCTATGGGTTGGAACTGACTCGACAGCATTTAACAACAACTTGAACCACATGCAAGCCATTATATATTAATCTGTTATATTGTGGCAATGTTTTTATTGTTGCTGATAAGTGCAGTTGAGTCAGTTCCGACTTGTAGTGGCCCTATATTACTTTTCCAAGGTTTTTTAAATCTTTGTGGGGGCAGAATGCCTCATCTTTTTCCCACAGAGCGACTGGCAGTCTTGAACCATGGACCTTGTGCTTCGCAGTCCAGTGTTTATTGTTGTGGCAATCCAGGCCTGAGTATATAAAAACCTGTGTTAGGAAGATTAGAGTTGGGAGGAACTGAGAGGGACAGATGATAAATTTAAAGGGGAAAAAAAAAAAGATGTGACTCAGAGTCTGTGGAACAGTGGTTCTCAAACTTGAGAATATATCAGAGTCTCTGGGAAAGTTTGTTAAACAGATTTCTGGGCTGTACCTGTGGAGTTTCTAATTGAATGTATCTGGGTGAGACCTGAGAATCTGCATTTGTCACAACTTCCCAGATGGTGTTGCAAAGTCAGGGACCACACTTGGAGAATTACTGTTATAATTATTTGTAGATACAGCCACATTCTTCATGTATAATAGATACTCAATGTTAGCACATACCAAAGGAGCTAAGTTCTCTTATTAATTGCTTTTTTGTTTGGTTTTCTTTTTAGACCAAGTGATGATAGTAAGAATAATTCCACATGTAATATTGAAGTCATAAAATCACTGGATATTGAAGAAAGTATTTGGTCCCCTAGGTTTGGATTAAAGGGCAAAATAGATGTTACAGTTGGTGTGAAAATACATCGAGGGTGTAAAACGAAATATAAAATAATGCCTTTGGAACTTAAAACTGGCAAAGAATCTAATTCTATTGAACACCGTAGTCAGGTAAAAACATTTATAATATTGTCTGAATGATTAATATGTATGTAAATGTACTCTGTTAATACTTTGGTTTAATTCAGGTCATTTTTGAGTTTATGTAGTACTTTTCAATTTTTAATGTACTTAGAATATTCTATTTGTTTTATAATCTCTCTTGGGCACTTAGTGGTGAGTTTATAGATACAATTGGTATTTATCCTATAAAATTTTATACCTTCTATACATTAATCAGTACTTTTTAATGTAGCTTAGAAAATAAGGATATTATACTTTTTTACTTTGTTAGTCATGTTAATTATATTTGCTAAACTTGGCTTTTTTATATCTTTAGGATTCAAAGACTAGGCCCTCATAAACATTTTTACATTTTAAATTTGAAGGTCTTTTGAAAAACAAATCATCTGTCCATTAGGTTGCTTATAAATCCCAGTGAACGCCATTCTCTTGCTGCTAAGGTTTGTTTATGAATTGAAGGGGCTAATTTCTAGATGCTTTCTCTGAAGAGCACCACATATATCTCATGCATTTAATGATGCCTCATGCTCTGAGTCACCACTCGTGTGTCAGTTTGCCATCCTGTGGTGGCTTGTTTGTAGCTGTGATTCTGGAAGCTATGCCACAGTTATTTTAAATACCAGCAAGGTCACCCGCAGTGGACAGGTTTCAACTGTGCTTCCAAATGAAGACAGATAAGGAAAAAACAGAGATGGACTACGTCTGAATATTTTGTCACTGAAAACCTTATGAATAACAGTGGAACACTGTCAGCACCAGAATATTGAATATTAAAACATGATGAAGAGCACCAGAATATTGTCAGATATAATGCCAGATGATGAGCCCCTCAGATTGGAAGGCACTCAAAATAAAATGGGAAGAGCTGCCTCCTCAAAGTTGATCATGGTGATGTGAATGGCGTAACTCTTCGGGGCCTTCATTTGCTGATGAGGCACAACGCAAAGTGAAAAGAAACAACTATAAAGATCCATTAATAATCAAAACATGGAATGTATGAAGTATCAATATAGGAAAACCTGAAAATTGTCAAAAATGAAATGGAACGCATAAACATAAATTACATAGGCGTTAGTGAGCTGAAATGGACTGGTATTGGCCATTTTGAGTCTGAAATCACATGGTTTACTATGCCTAGAATGACAAATTGAAGACGAATGGTGTCGCATTCATCATCAAAAGAACATTTCAAGATCTGTCTTGAAGTACACACCTGTCCGTGATAGGATCGTATCCTTACACCTATAAGGAAGACCAGTTAATAACACTATTATTCAAATTTACACACTGACCACTATAGCCAATGATAAGGAAATTGAAGAATTCTATCAATTTCTTCAGTCTGAAATAGGTCAAATATGCAATCAAGCTGTATTGTTAATTATTGATGATTGGAATGCAAAGGTTGGAAGCAAAGAGGAAGGATCAGTAGTTGGAAATTATGGCGTTGGTGACAGGAATGATGCTGGAGATCCCATGGTAGAATTTTGCAAGACCAATGACTTATTCAGTGCAAATACCTTTTTTACACAACATAAAAGATGACTATGCACATGTACCTCACTAGATGGAATACACAGAAATCAGATTGACTTTATCTGTGGAAGGAGACAATGGAAAAGTTCCATATCATCAGCCAAAACAAGGCCAGGGGCAGACTGCAACAGACCATCAATTGCTCATATGCAAGTGCAGGCAGAAGCTGAAGAAAATTAAAACAAGTCCACGAGAGCCAAAATAATGACCTTGACCATGTCCCACCTGAATTTAGAGATCATCTGAAGAACAGATTTGATGATTCTTTGAGTTTTCCAGAATACAAATCTTTCCAGGAGCAGACAGCCTCATTTTTCTCCCACAGAGCACCTGATGGGCTTGAACCACTCCAATGCTTAACTCACTGTATCACCAGGACTCCTTTTACTAATTACGGTCATGGTTTTTTTCCAAATGGAAGTAGCTTACTTGACCTTTTGATTTTGAAACTACAATATATGTTGGTTGTGAGACAACATAGGAAAGTACAGAAAGTTAGAATTCTATTTTACAAAACGTACAATTGTGTTCGCAGGTTATTCTGTACACACTGCTAAGCCAAGAAAGAAGAGCTGATCCTGAGGCTGGCTTACTCCTCTACCTCAAGACTGGCCAGATGTACCCTGTACCTGCCAAACATCTAGATAAAAGAGGTTGAGCTGTTTTCTTTCAGTTTTACTTCTGTTTTAATTTTTCCTTTCTGCTTAAACTTTTGATGATACGTATTTACACATGACAGTCTTCTAATTGTACTTGCTTTGTCTAATTCAGTTTTTAACTGGTACTTGTGGTAAAATGTTGGAAAAGTTTTTGTTGTTGTTAAGTGCCATCGAGTCAGTTCTGACTCATAGAGACACTGTATAGGGTTTCTGAGGCTGTAGATCTTGAGGGAGCAGAAAGCCTCATCTTTCTTCCACGAACGGCTGGTGAGCTCGAACTGCTGACCTTGTGATTTGCAGTCCAGTACTTAATCTACTGCGACCTACTGCACTCCAATTGATAACAGCATTATTTAACTTTGAATTTTCTATTAATCTAAAAAATTATTTTAGATTTCCTATCTAATGTCCGCGATACCCTGCGTAGCTGTTTTTATTACTTCTATCCACCTAATCGAACATGAGATGTGGGTATGTCCTGGTTTTCAACAGTGTAATTTGTGGCACTGCACTTTTATGAATGAGCTACCTTCGTTCCTGTTTTTGCTAACTGAAAGAAATTCAAAGATTTTTTTTCTTTTTCAAAAAAAAAAAAGTTGGAAAAGAGAAACCAGTGTTCAGTTTGTTTTGCAGGAAGTCATTAAAGAAACAGAGAGAGTGGTTTGGCTAAGCTCCTTCCCCGGAAACTACACTGTAGGGGAGAGAGCATTCCAAGAGTTGGTTGAAAAATAAAATTTAAAGATAATTATGTGGAATTTTTCCACAAACTTTTTGAAGGCCCCTCCTACATACATGGTTACTGCTTTACATAGGCTGTGTATTTATCATATCATTCCTGCTTCTACTGTATATTTCAGTGTTATTTTAGACTTTATATGTTATTTGGTATGGTTTAGTAGGTTATGTTTTGGGTCTGGGATTGCGCAAACATTTTTCCTATGTGAGTTAATGGCTATTGCTTCTTCACTTTATGTCTGTTTTTGACTTCAAGTTTCATAGGCATGCTCTACTTTGGGATTGCAGGGGGAAAACCTGTATGTAGTTTTAAAAAATTATCAAGTGAACAAAAACTTGACGTATATACAAGTACCCTGAAATGTTAATCATGTTTATTATACTGGGAAATATAAATCTGGAAGCTATATAACGGAAAAGATACAAGAGAGCTTCAGAAATTTTGTGGGCAAAAAATGCTACTATCTTTTAATTCCACTTTCCATGATCTTTTTGAAGCCCTCTCTGATATAATAAACTTTAATTTTTAAGAAGACACCCATCTTCTTCCCCCCTTAGAATTATTAAAGCTAAGAAACCAGATGGCATTCTCTTTGTCTCATCGTATCAGCAAATCTGCTGCAGGAAAGGAGAAGACACAGCTTGCTCCTTTGCCAGAAATAATTGAGGACTATCAAACCTGTAAACATTGCTCACAAGTGGACATCTGTGCTCTGTATAGCAGGTGAACACATTACTCCGAGTATTAACTCAACTCAGAATGATTTAACGTCGTTGGCTGGTTAAGCATTGACGACTTCATAGTAGTTATTTGCCTTTAAACGTTCTTTTGTGTATGTTGGTATTGTTAAGTGTTGTTGAGTTGGTTCTGATTCATAGCCATTCTTTGTAACATTTCCAAGGAGCAGCTGGTGGATTTGAACTGCCAACCTTATGGATAGCAATCCAGTGCTTATCCTATAGCACCATACCAGGACTTGCTCTTTTTTGTGTATGGTTGTGGTGGTGGTGTACCAGGAGTCAGTCCCAACTCAGCAACCTGGGATAGGGTTTCCCAGGCTCTAAATCTTTATGGGAACAGAAAGCCTCAACTTTCTCCTGTGAAATGGCTGGTATTTTCGAACTGCTGACTTTGAGGTTAGCAGTT